ATACTATCATTATAACAAGAAACCCCCAACATAATACAAGTAATTATTTAGGCTTCTATAGTAGACGGTAGAACTATAGGTGTGTCTTCTTTGTGCGTCTAGACGATTTCAAGAGCGTGTCATTGGGTACCTGGGTTGGGCCACCAGGGAGCTGACCGGGCTGATATTGAGGATGAGTGCTTCTTCTCGTATAGTACCTTGCGCTAAGGGCTCAAGTAGCTCAAGTACCTAATAATCATATACTCTCCCAGCGACGAACCCACAAAACTACTATCTTAAACCCCTAAACCCTAAACCCCTAAACCCTAAACCCTAAACCCTAAACCCTAAACCCTTATTATGACGGCCTTTGGACTCTCAGGGTTGCTTGGAGCAGAAATAAAGAGTATGATTTGGGTTTAGGGTTTGGGGTGTACAGGGTTTAGGGATTAGGGTTTAGGGTTTAGGGTTTAGGGTTTATAGGGTTTAGGGTTTAGGGGTCACGGTTTGGGGTTTAGAGAGGAAATTCATGAACCTAGGGAAGCCCGCTCGTTGCGGTAGGGCGTTCAAGCGCGACGAAGCTTTGTCGCTTTGATCCCTGTAAGAACTCTGGGGCAAAAGTACAACCAAACCCTAACCCCTATAACCCTAAACCCCAAAACCCCAAAACCCCTAAACCCTATAACCCTAAACCCCTAAGCCCTATAAAAAACCGTAACCGAGGACCTTGACCCTGATGTTACACTTGGGCGCTTAGGGTTTTGGATCAGCCGTAGGCTTCAGGCACCTGATTTGTTTTTAGGGTTTTAGGGTTTTGGGTTAAGGTTTTAGGTTTAGGGTTTAAGGTTTAGGGTTTACGGTTTTGTGAAATCATGCTCTCGAACTGGGTTTCGTTATGGCATTGCTCTTCAGAGACACTAGGTTGATACGACCTTTGTTTTCTGCCTGCAGTTTTGAGCCTCGGCAGGCCGCAAATAGATTCGACCAGGAGAAAACCCTGGACCCTAAACCCTAAACCCCTAAACCGCTAAACCTCAAAGCCCTAAACCCTAAACCCCTTTAAACCCTTAAGCCCTAAGCCCTAAACCCCCAAGCCCTTAAACTTAAGCCCTGAACCCCAAAAGCGGAAACCCGAAAGAGGTGGCAACCGGGCGGCCGATCCGGTCTCTGAAATTCAGCATCCTGGCCGCGTGGTGTCGTCCCAGAGACTTCTAAACGGGTTTAGGGTTTAGGGTTTAGGGGTTTAGGGTTTAGGGTTCAGGGCTCAGGTTTTTTAGGGTTTAGGGTTTAGGGTTTAGCGCCTTAAGCGACCTTCAGTGACTTCAATGCCCCTTGAGATATGTACAATGTATACCTGAAATCGAACCTTAAATTATCAGTATTATGGGCGGATTATAAATCACATCAAGGATCCCCCTGCAGTGCAAGTTATATCAATCCTTAACTAAGGGATTTGGGACAACACACGTCTTCGTCTTTGTATAGGCTTCCGAAGGGGGTTTTCTGAGCCGCAGATCGTCATGGAGTTTTCGGAATACACGGAATACCTATTAAGGGATCCTTGGCTGCATAGGGTGTCATAGGGCTTTAACAGCTACATTAAGCGGGGTTCTGTTGAACATGATCTTCCTATTTCAAAACAACCCATAGTTTGAAGCTTCCTGGGTTCCTGAAACTTACATATCCCTTCAACGCGGTCCTAAAGCCGAAACAAGGCAGTTCTGTCACGGCAGTCGCCTGGAATCCACGACATTTGCTCCTGAGCGTCGCAGCGGAAGAGGCGCGGACGGCTGCCCTAAACCCTAAACCCTAAACCGTAAACACATCTTGAAGCACATTTTGCAGCGGGCACCGATGCTCTCACGATGTCTATTTAGGGTGGAAGGTCGAATTCGGGTGTAACCCTACACCCGAAAACCTTGACCCTGAACCCGAAACCCTCAACCCGGATCAGCCATTCAATACTCTAGAAGCATGAACAAACAGTCATCGCACCCTTGTAATCCAAAGGTGTACCTGTAAATAGACAATATATTATAGAAAAAAGTTTTATATATATATATATACATACATATATATATATATATATACAGATGTTCAAATATCTATATACATAACTATATAATATAGTATACGTATACAGGTTCACACTATATATATGTCACGGTCTCCAGTCGCACCCAGCAGGGTTCACTATTTTGAGTTCCTAAAGCCCTGCAGCCCTTTAAGCACCACGGCCAGAACAGCTAAACAACCCCAGCTTAGGGTTTAGGGCGTAGGGTTTGGGGTTTAGGGCTTAAGGCTTACGGTTTAGGGCTTAGGGTTCGGGGTTTAGGGTTTAGGGTTGTTCATATTATTCCCTAAGGGTCCATGTACCCAAATAGTATTTACATTGGCCCTAATGTACCTATATGGGGACTACATTAAGGCCAAAGTATGTAAAATTCGGGTACATGGACCCTTGGGGATTTCTTTGCTCCTACTTATGTGTCGTAGAAGATGCCGCAAACCCTGTTCTAGCAATTAAAGCCCCGATATTCAACACCACGTCCCAGAAGCAAACAGGACGTAGAGCCACCCACCAAGCCTCTCGATAGTCCTGAGCCTAGCTGCACCAGATCAGATCCCTCCCGAAGTTCGCTCACCCTGGGCTCAAGTTTAGGGTTTAGGGTTTAGGGTTTGGGTTTTAAGAGTTTAGGGTTTAGGGTTTAGGTTTTAAGAGTTTAGGGCTTTGGGTTTAGGTTTTAAGGGTTTAGGGTTTAGGGGGTGGGAGGACTCTGAATGTGGCTCATTTCTATCGTCTGATCGAGGAATGGGCTAGTCGTGCACTCTCTTGTGGATTCAGGCTTAGGGTTCCGGATTTTCGGAACTATCGCTGCACTGGGGGGTGGTGTAGCCGAGCCCTGTGTTGCCGGGGCCTCTCTCTTCTGCGTGGGTAGTTTTATAGTCAACGTGCCTCAAGGGGCGCGATTTTCCCACTCATTCTTTGATCCGTAGACACCCAGACTACTTCCTGCAATGACTCAGTGTACCAAAAAGAACTACCCATTGAAGCTGTGTAAGCCGAATGAAGCATGTGTAGAGCCCTCTCCGTACACCCTTAAACCTAAACCTTCCAACGAGTTGAGCCCTAAACCCAAAGCCCTAAAGCGCTGAACCCTTACGCGCTGCACCCTGAAACCCTGAACCCTTAGACGTTAAACCCTCAGATCCTGACCCCCGAGCCATTAGATCCTACGGGCCACATCAGCTAGGGTCAGGGGTTTTGGGTTCAGGGTTAGCGTAGAAATACCGCCGCCGCCCCCTTTCAACAAAATTCGACAAAAAGCACCATTCTATCTGCTACAGCCCTGTAACGTCAAGAAGACCCCATCAAACCGTAAATGACACCAACACCTCATGAAACCCTATCGGATCCTATAAACCCTAGAACCCGATCAGACCCTGAACCCTGAGCCTTTTAGAAGCCTGAGCCGTAATATAGGGGCCTTAATAATTAGAATAGGGTTTGGGGTATATTATACTACAATTAGAATAAGGAACCCCCAAGATAGTATAGGTAATAATACAGGCCCCTATATAAAACGTGTCAGAACGTCTTCTTTGTGGATCCGGGCCTGCAGCTGATACCGAAGGACCCGGATGTTGGTGTTGTACTGCTGCGTTTCTCTTTTGTTTCTGCTAGGGTTTAGGTTTTTGGGGTGTTGCTGTGGCTTTTTTAAAGTGTATAGGTTTTATAGGGTTTAGGGCTTCGTTGTGGCTTTTTAAAGTGTATAGGGTTTATGGGGTTTTGGGGTTTTGTTGTGGCTTTTTAAAGCGTATAGGATTTATAGGGTTTTGGGGTTCATATTTTGGCGCATTGGGTTTTGGCTGGAGGACACGCCGGAGGATGCCGAGGAGGTGCCAGCGACGGTGACGTCAATGCTGGAATTCAAGGAGGCCTGTGAGTTCTACGGGCTTATGGGCTTTGGGTTTAAGGGTTTAGGGTTCAAGGGACTTATATTTAAGGGTTCTAATATAGGGACCTAAATAATTACCACCACTATTTGAGGTTTTATATTATAAGTATACTATAAGGAGCCCAGGGCCCTATTCTAAATACTGAGGCCTCTACATTACGGGTTTCTGGGCTTTGGGCTTAAGGGTTTAGGGTCCAAGGGTCTTTTATTTATGGGTTCAGGGTATATGGCTTCGGGGTTGTGGATTCAAGGTTTTGGGTTTAGGATTTTGGGGATTAGGCTTCAGGGGTTTAGGCGGCCTGAGGGTGAAGACTGCGATGGATGAGCAAAGGTGTGGAGCACTGCGTAAATGACTGTCGCTGCTGAGCAGCAGTATTGTAAGTGATGCTCTGGGTTTAGGGTTTAGGGTTCAGGGATGGTGGCACGATCGTGATTTCGGGCGGTCTGGTTGTCCCTGCATTGATCTCAATGGTATTCGACTTTCTTGTGCAAGGGATTGTCACTTCGCTGCGTTTGGCCTGCCTCTTGTTTGTGATGATGATTGCAAGTGTGGGCGTAACAGCTTCGCCTATGATGACGTTAATATACCTGAATTGTCCAGATTGTGCTCAGCCTTCCTTGCATTGTGACGACCCCTTCCTGTTTTTGTTGCGTGGTGTTTTAGGTTGCTTTTGCTCGTCTTGTGTTTCTTGCCATCTTGAAAGGTTCAGGGCTCGGAGCTGCAACAGCAAAGCCGTGTGCGCGCACCTGACATGCGGATTCCAGGAACAGGACAGGTCTGAAGCTTCCAAAGCAAGCTGCACGAGCACGTGCTTAAGTTTGCCACTCCGGCCATGAAGAGCCGAACTCGCACACCTCGCAGCAACACCCTCCGCCAGCACAGCATCAGCAACTAAATCTTTGAACACAAACCCGAAACCCTAAACCCTAGACCCCTAAACCCTAAACCCCAAAACCCCTAAACCCGAAACCCTAAACCGTGCCTGACGTGCAGGCCGCAGGCGTTAAGCCGGTCTCAGACGGTAACGAGGACGAGGACACGGTTTAGGGTTTAGGGTGTGACACCTGTGTCTGCAGAGCACCCTTACTTAGGACGGGCTTCCTTGTACGGGGATATATGTATGGGATTTGCCTATCCTAGTGTCCCAGTGTTTGCTTATGTGCTTTTTCTTGGGGGGGGCCCTACTTAACGGTTTAGGGCTCAGGGTTTGTGCAGCCATCCGCCTGCCTCCGACATTGGCACATCGATCCATCGCGGTCACCACTAACATCAGCACTATTACGGTTGTCACCGGCGCAGATTGGCAGTGCTATGGTGGTTGAGTACAGTCTGCTGTTCAAGCCGTCTTGCTAGGTTTGCGAAATCCTGTCCTGCTCGCCATGGCCCTCTCAGTGCCCTTACATGCTAGCGCTTTGTTGGTGACCTTGCTCGTCGCTCAAGCGCTCCGAACAGACTTGGTTCAGTCTGAAGTCGGGATCCCGCAAGGCGGAGCTTCCTTGCTCAATTCAAGTTTGGAACATCTCAGCGCATCTGTTCGAGAGAGTTGGCAGATGATGACGGTTCCGTGCGCAAAGGACATGAAAGCCTTTTTCGCAGACCTTTTATCTCATTGTGTCTCGAAGCATCCACGGCAGAGTGCCCGTTGCATGGACCAAGTCTCACAAGTGTTTGACGGACGACACAGTGAACTTGTAGTGCCTGTCGAACAACACAGACATTACGAAAGTTATGATGACCAACTGTCGTTTTGGTTTGTGCCGTTGGCAACCTCCTCACAGTCGAAATCAAAAATGTTGTGGGCTGGCTTCTGGGATGGAGAAGATGCCGAGGACGGCCGCACGACTGAGAAGGCCCTTTTCAATTTTGCCAAGCTTGTGGACCATGAAACCGTGCACCCAGATACTATTCTAGGAAGGCTCGTTGACAAATACCACGTTTTCCGATCTTGTGATGGAGACCCTGGCGCATGGCGGAACTCTAAATTTAACAGCGCTTCCACTTCAGCTAGCGGCCCTTTGCCCCATTTTTGGAGGGCGGCCAGTGAGGCTTTCGTTTGGGCTATGGCAAAGGCAAATCAGCCGTCTATCCCAGTGATGCTCAACAAAGACATGTATTTTTATAACTCTCGCAACCTTTGGCTATCGGTATTTTGGCAGTTCGAGATTCCCGCGATTGTCAACTCGCATCCCTACGGGCATTGGTGCCCGAAAATAGTCTTGGTTGACTTGCGTGGCAATTGTGCGAAGCTGAAGCGCTTGATCCGGGAAAAGCTTGACGCAGTGCTCCCACCGGGGTATCCTGACAGAAGGTTTTGCGGGGACCTCGTGTGCCTGCCTTGTGGTCCGGGATGCAAGCTGGACGACGAGTTCGCAAGTGTTCTGAAACTCATGCTGTTTACCCCAGGGTCATCAACCGAGGGAAGTGAGCCATTAGGACCAGGATAATGAGTGAGGAGCCGTGCCTGAAACCCTACCGAGGCTCTGGCGGACGGTCTTGCGTTTGAAGCTTTGTCTTCAAATGGCAGCTGAGCGAAATCGAGTTGCCTTCAAGCATACTTGCCGGTTCTGGCCATGGGATCTCTACACATTCGCAGAGGTAAGTTCATAAAAGGAACAGATAATCCCAATAACAATAGCTAGTAGCAACAGCGAAAACAGTTCCAATAGCAATAACCAGAATCATATCACTAGCACCAACAATGGCAAAGGCACCAGCAATAGCAATAGTAATAGCAAATATTGTAATGGTTAGCAGTAAGGGCAAGAATAGTAATAGTAAGAATGATGATAGTAAGATCAAGCATCATCGGCAGCAGCGGCATACTGATAATGTATGCATAATTGTATGCGTATGTATACGTATACACGTGCACGCACACCTACAAACATTCATGCACACACATTTGCATACACATACATGCATACCCATACATGCATACGCATATATACATACATACCTACCTACCTACCTACCTACATACATACATACATACATACATACATACATACATACATACATACATACGTACATATATACATACATCCATGCATGCATACATACATGCATACATACATGTATACTCATACATACACATACACACATGTGTGCATGTGAGCAGCAAAAGCAAGTATATGCAGTTTGATACACATACATACATACATACATACATACATACATACATACATACATACATACATACACACATACATACATACATACATACATACATACATACACACATACATACACGCATGCATGCATGTATAGATGTACATGCTTACCTAGGTTCATCCATACATGTACATGTACTGCTACACCTGCATCTGCCTATGCTTAGCCATGTACTTGCCTTTTGTTCTTTGTCTCTCTCGCTCTGACACTCCCTCCAGTTTATTCGGAAGCCGTGACTGCAGTACAGTACCCTGACGGCAGCATTTTTGTCAAAGCCGAGGAAGGTCTTCAACAGCATTGCGTGTATGAGAACTAGTTAAATCGGAAGCAATCGTTCTTCGCCTCTCCTCCTCCGCGTCTTCGCGGCAGTCGTGATGACCAACCTAAAAGCAACACACCAGACCCTTAAACCCAATTGCTTGATGCCCTGAGCCCTATGGACCACTGGACCGGAACATTGCAACCCCAGCACGGCCCCCTAGCCCTTAGCCTGTCTGAAGAGCCCTATCAACATCGATACGGCCCCGCCGCAGTGCTCCGTCAAGCCGTAAACCTTAACCCGCAATTCCCGACCCGGACCCTGAGCCTCTAAAGCCCTGAACCTCAAACCCCCACACCCTAAAACCTGAAGCCCCAAACCCCGAACCCGGTTTAGGGTCTAGGGTTCCTCAAGAATTACCTATACCATTTTGGGGGCTCCCTTTTATAATTATAGTATACTATATCCCAAAATCCTATTCTCATTATTGAGGCCCTTAGGGTTCAGGGCCTTCAAACCCTAAACCCCAAACCCTAAGCCCCTAAAACCCTAAAGCCCTAAACCCCTAAAGCCCTTAAACGCTAAACCCATACAGTACCCCTTGAAGATCCCTTATGGGAGCCCTTATAGCTCCGGGCTTAGGGTTCAGAGCCATAAACCCCAAACCCCAAACTTTGTCTAGGACATTTTCAGGTGCGTAGTTCCCGTTGTGGGAGCCTTATAGACTATAGCAGGTCTATAGACTTTACAGAAGCCTTGTAGAAGCCCTATATACTCCCCACCTTTGACCAGGAGGCCAAAGAGGGAGCCAAGGCCCGGGCAGTTCGCTGGCACCGAGTCTTGCCCGACTCCGAACTCTACAAAGTGGGTTGCAGGACGGCGGGTTTAGGGTTTCGAGTTTGGGGGTTTGGGGGTTTAGGGTTGTTAGTTTGCGGCTTTAGCGTTTAGGGTTTAGAGTTTGGGGGTTTGGGGTGTGGCGGGTTTAGGGTCCCTAAACCCTAAACCCTAAACCCTAAACCGGTTTGGGGTTTAGGGTTTGGGGGCCTTCGGGTTTCGGGTTTGGGGGGCCTTAGGGCTTTGGGTTTACGGACTGGGGGCGTAGTAGAGGTTTTTTTTGCCTCTGAGGGATGTGGGGTTTGGGATCTTTCTGCGGCATAATGGGCCTTAATTAGCATAGGAACACCCCCCAAAACCTTCTTCTATTCATCAAGGCCTACAGTTTGGCTTCAGAGTTTCAGGTTTTGTGAACCAGGGAACTTGAGGCTTCGGTGCTTTGCCGGATTTTTGTTTTCAGGCGTTAGTAAGTCTATGGTTTAGGTGTTTAGGGGTTTGGGTTTTGGGTTTTGGGGGATTGGGGGCTTAGGATGGGTTCCAGGCTTGACGTAGCGTCTTAGGGTTTCATGGGATGGCGCAGGGTTTTCAGCCCTTCCCGACAGACGGTGTTACCTGGTGCCATTGCCCTGTGCTGTCTGGCACTTGACACGGCCGTTTATGGGCTTTAGGGTTTAGGGCTTAGGGAGTTTATGGGCTTTGAGTTGATAAGCTTATGGTCTTAATTACCCCAAAGTGTACGGCTCAAACCCCAAACCGACACCCCAATAAAACCTCACGTCATAAATAGGGATTGGGGTCGACAAGTCGATGTGCTTCTGTGATCTGAGCCGAAGACAACATCCAAGGTTCTTAGCAAATCACGGTTTAGAGTTTGGTGTTTAGGGTGTACCTGCTTGTCCGCTGCCACTGTAATGGCACTGACATACCCGCAGTCGCATACGATCAGGCGAACTGTGCACCGCCACGAGTTGTAGTGGATGTCGAATCACGGGCACAGTTTCGTGTGTAGCACATAATAGCGCAGGAATGGGGCAGGCCCCAGACACCAGCCCCCTCAGCCCCACATGTGGCGGACAATAGCAACAGCACGGAGAACACGAAAAAACCCAGGTGTAGTACTCAACGTTGGCAATGACAAGGCCGGATAACCACATAAAGGCTAATCGTGATGGCGACAGTGGCCGTTTGATGCGGTAAACGCTTCTCTAAACCCCCATCGCTAAAGCCTAAGCCTCAGCTGCGCTTGGAGCTGGCAGGTTGAGTATCGCCACCGACGGCGATGTGCAGCTACCTGGCCCAGTTTAGGGCCAAAGGCCTAGGTTTACGGGGTGGTTGCAGTATCTAAGGTTAGAAGCATGGGCCCCTAGTATGGACCCTTAGGCCTTTCTAGGGACCCTTAAGGGTACATATAGGGCATATAGTAGGTGTTTAAGGATCCCAGGGTTAAGGGCCCATACTAGGGGCCCATGGTTTCAAATTTGGACAGAACCCGGCTGTCACTTTAAATACCGGGCTTCGGGATGCCAGCTGAAGGATTCGGCCTCACAAGACGAGTTTGGAGGAGTATCTTTGTTCTTAGGGTTAGTGTTATTGCGACTCTTATTGCTATGAGTAATAGTGTTATTATTGTCATTAGCACCTTTATCAATGGTTATTCAAAGTTTTACTTATTTTCAATCCTTCATATTCAGTTTGGCTAAGGTTGAAGTTGTTCGATCCCGGGTTTGACGGGATGCACGCCGCTTGTCGCATGTCTTGTGGTTTTTGAGACGACGATGCTTGATACCCTGTCTGAACACTTGACCATACCGCATTGTTTAGGGTTTAGGGTTTAGGGTTTCCCTATAAACCCTAAACCCTAAACCCTAAACCCTTGACTCAGCTTGGCCACGGTCTTCAACGTTGGGAGTGCCTGCAACTTGACGAGTCCGGACGACGATGCTGGCATCCACAGCACTCTAGCATAGCGCACCACCTGAATAGGTCGTATCTCATCTCCCTGACTTAGGATTCCCGGCGGTATAGCCACAGTGTACACTTTGCATTCTGCAGGGTCCTGCGAAACTTAGATGCTGGATCACAATATACCCTAAACCCTAAACCCGAAACCCTAAACCCTAAACTATTCTACCTACGGAAGCCTCGATATCCCCAAAGATCTGAACCCTAAATCCTAAACCCTAAACCCTACTCTATTATATACCCTAAACCCTAAACCCTAAACCCTAAACCCCAAACCCTAAACCCTAAACCCTAAAGATCTGGAGGTTCTTGGTCTGGCATCACAAAGGGAATTACTGCGCGGCGGTAAGCCCGAAGGCCTTCTTGGCTGGGCGGTTTCTTGTTTGGGGTCTTGGGTTTAGTGGGTTTAGGGTTTAGGGTTTAGGGTTTAGGGTTTGGGGGTTTGGGGGTTTTGGGGGGTTTAGGGTTTTGGGTTTAGGGTTTAGGGTTTACTGGGTTTAGTGGGTTTAGGGTTTAGTGAGTTTAGGGTTTAGGGTTTCGGGTTTAGGGTTTCAGGTTGAGGGTTTAGGGTATCGTATCGTATAGTAAAGTATAGTACAGTAGAGTTCCCGGTGCTGAACTGAAAGCACTTGTTACGACAGCTGTTTGATTGTCAAAGCAACTTTTGCGACAATTGTGCAAATCCTGCAACAACTGTTGCACAGAAGCAGCTAACCCTAAACCATAAACCCTACACAGCTAAAGTAGAGAGACCGGAGGTTGAAATGGATCAAGCACTAGGTAAAGTAGAGAACATATAAACAAAAAGTGGTTGAAGCAGAGAAAACCAAGGCTTAAAGTAGATAAGTCCAAGTTAAAGTATAAGAATGTGTCGCCGAAGTTGTTCCACCACTTGTGGAAACTACCGTCGCCAGAAATTGACCCCAAATCCTAGACCCTAAACCCTAAACCCTAAACCGAAAGTTCCGAAGCTTCGAGTCCAGGGCGGTGAACACGTTTCCCGGCTTTCAGGTGGGATTTGGTTTTGGGGTTAAGAGGGTTTAGGGTTTAGGGTTTAGGGTAAACCCTAGAATCATCCTGGCACGGAATTTTAGTTATACGCAGTCGGCAAAGAGCCCACAGGACTGAAGCAATAAATTCTAAACCCTAAACCCTAAATTCTAGACCCTAAACCCTGAACCCTAAATTCTAAACCCTAAACCCTCATCAGGTTTTGCTGTTTTCAGCTTTGCTCCTGGTCTGGTGTTCAGGGGGGTTCAGGGGTTTCGGGGTAGGGGTTTAGGGTGTAGGGTGTAGGGGTTTAGGGTTTAGGGGTTTGGGGTTAGGGGTTTAGGGGGTAGGGTTTAGGGGTTTAGGGTTTAGGGTTAGCAGATTCTTGGGGGGATCGAGGGCCTCATCAGGCTGCGTTCTAGTATTGGATGCAGCATAGTATATAGTAGAGTAGAACAGAATATAGTATGGTGTAGTATGGTATAGTATGGCACAGTATGGTATAGTATGGTATAGTGTGGTATAGTGTGGTATAGTATGATGGTATAGTATCGTACTGACTACTAAAGTATAGTAGCGTAGAGTATCGTATGCCATGGTCTAGTATGGCATTGTATAGTATAGTACACTATGAAACCCTAAACCCTAAACCCTAAACCCTAAACCCTAAACCCTAAACCCTAAACCTAAACCCTAAAACCTAAACCCTAAATGGAAAGTTGTTGCTGCAGCTCTTCCCGCGTCGGAGGCCAGAGCAACCTCGAATCAGTGCATCATCCACGCCACGCTCTCAAAGAGTCAGTGCAGTTTAGGGTTTAGGGTTTTGGGTTCAGGGTTTTGGGTTCAGGGTTTAGGGTTTAGGGTTTAGGGTGCTTTGGGTTCAGGGTTCTGGGTTCAGGGTTCAGGGTTTAGGGTTTAGGGTTTAGGGTTCTTTGGGTTTAGGGTTCTTTGGGTTCAGGGTTCTGGGTTCAGGGTTCAATAGCCTGGAGGGTTGAGTGCTGAGGGTCGTCACTAGACAAGCATTCGCGCAGTGCCGCGCAGTGGCAGCAGCCTTGTTGTGTGTATTCCTGTCCTGATGATGAGACAGCATGGGTGTGAATGCAGGGGCTCTGCTATTACCACTACTCCTGCTGCTGCTCCTCCTCACCATCCTTCTGCTGCTGCTGCTTCCGATACTGCTGCTGCTACTACTCCTGCTGCTACTACTGCTACTACTACTACTACTGCTACTACTACTACTACGACTGCTTCTACTACTTCTACTACTAGCACAGCAACAACTACTACTCCTACTACCACCACCTCTAATATTGCAAATAACAATACTACTACTATCCGCTACTGCTACTACTCCTAGTACTACTTCAACCTCAAGTTCTACTTGCACTACTACCACCCGCCACCGCCACCACGACGACGACTACTACTACCACCACTACGACTACCAGTACCACTACTGCTAGCACTACCTCTACTATTGCCACAACAACAACAACAATAACAACAACTACTACTACTACTACTACTACTACCGCGAGGACGACGACGACTACTACTACTACTACGACGGCGACTACTACTACTACTACTACTACTACTACTACTACTACTACTTCTACTACTACTACTACTACTACTACTACTACCGCGACGACGACGACGACTACTACGACGACGACGACTACTACTACTACCACCACTCCTGCTACTACTACCGCTACTACCACTACTACCAGTACTACCACTACTACCACGACTACTACTACTACTACTGCTACTACTACTACTACTACCACTAGTACTACTACTACTACTGCTACTACTACTACTGCT